ATATAACAAAACATATTTTCAAACGTATTTATAAAATTAAACGTATATATATAACAAAACATATTTATAATAAAACGTATTTATATAAAACATATTAAAAATAACATATTACAAACATATTAATAACATATTAAAAATTTATTAATAAACAAAAATTTGAATTTTTTTTTTGGCCGGGAACGGATGGGACCGGTTATGGGACCGGAACCGGGACCAGATTCCTTAACCGGTTACCGGTAAGCTTGACCGGTTACAAGGTATTTCACCGGAACCGGGACCGAGACCGGTTATGGCAGGACTGGTTACTGCCGGTTTTTGTCTTGATTAGGACCGATTAAGGACCGGTCCGGGACCGGATTTTAGCCATCTCTATCTGCGTGCGATGTTGCGTAAATCATTTCAATTATCAAGCCGATAACATGACAATATTGTTTCAAATTTTATTTTATTATCCATCCCTCTTGATGTTAATTTTATAGTTTAATGCGATTTTAAAACATAAATCAAATGATCTATAAATTTAAAGTTAAAATGTTCCATTGGTCAAAGATTTTGAAATAAAATAGTTCAATAACAATGTTTTTGACCCAATAATCATTGATGTTTTATAATATAGTATAAATATTATTTTTAATTGGTTGTACTTCTTAAAAAAATTCAAAATAACTGTAACTTGTGTTTTTTATTAATAAACCAACCTGATAATTAGGTATTCATTAATGAATAACTAAAAGAGTACTCGCGCAATACAGCGAGATATATCTCGATTTTAATGTTTCATTTTATTCTGTCTCCGTCGATGTTATAATACGATTTTATGTGGTACCGAAAAAACGATATTATTTTTATTTTTTTAAATAAAATATAGATTTGAAAATATCATAAAAGTTCTTCTTTTTTGTGTAATTTCTTTAATTCTATTTTTTATTATAATTTAATTTAAATTTAATAATGAAGTTATTTATTTTTGGTTTAAAATAATATAATTCTTTTATAAAGATAATATTTAGTATTTTGAATTCAATAATTATCCAAAATATATTTTAGATTTTTTATATTTAAAATGAGATAATTATCCAGAATTTGATTATGTTTATCTGTAGTTAGTTACACAAATTCAAACATGAAGCTTTAATAAGTTGTACATACGGATAATTTATTTGTAATCTTGAATTTTAAGTAATATGCATCAATAAACAGTACTTAATGCATAAAAAAATAGTTTTTAAGAATTTTTGTCAAATACTTTATAATATAGTATAGAGTAGTTCACTTCTTTTTGTTAAGTATACTTTAAATAATTCTACTTTCCTAATCATTGATGGTTTTTCTTGCACGCAATGCTTCAATTTTTGGTCCCCTTCCCTACCATGCTTTTCCTTCTTGGTACTCTTCCTTACAAATACAGAAACTACACTTTTATACATTTTTTGTTATATCTGGATGATAAAATTTATCAGTTTTCTATATATTTGTATTTTTTTAATCATATTATTTTTATCCGAGACTGAAGATGTACAACATGAGCCCGACTAGGCTTGAAAAAAGCCTGAAGTGCAATCTCGACTAGACATCAAATCCCCATTAGGGTTGAATTCTGGGGGCAGGTCTGGTTCAAAAATTCTGACCTGAAAATGTCTAGTTAAGCTAAAAAAAACTCGGCCTAAAATACTGATCGAATGATTTTTCAACCCAAAACCCGACCCAACTCAACCCTGACCTAAAAAATCGAGGGTGTTTTTCTTTATTCATTGAAAAATGGCTGTAGGGAAGACCCGAACCTTGTGCATGTCTATTTAAGACAATTACTGTTATCTTCGTCAAATTGTTTTAGTTTTAGTCTTTTCGTCTTAAATTGACCATTTATGTTGGTTAAGCTTTAATTGAATTAAAATAAAGTTTGAAACTCGTGGAATTGAATTAAATTGTATTGATGAACAACTTTGAATAAAATTGAAGCAAACACGCATCTTCCTTTAAATGGTATCTTCTAAAATGACCCAACCTCGTATTTTGTAGCTTTTGTAGGTGAATCCAAACCCAATCATTGTGATGTGTCACATTCGACGCTCCAATAAAACTGGGTTTAGGCTTTAGAGTTTACAAACAAGAAAAAGACTGTACGGATAATATTATGTTGCATATCCTATTTGTATTCAATGGGTGGATCTGCTTGTAAGAAAGCGGTGGCACATGCTATTACTAATATATCTCGTCATCGTATAAAAATAAAGTTTTACGACCCTTGATAGTGTCAGGACTGTCATCCGTGTTCTGTTATCACTGGGCATCATGGCTGGAAAATTAAGATGATTCGGTACCATATTGGAACTTAAATTCGAGTTTTAATTATAGTGGGATACAAAAATCTCTAACCATAAATCATTGAAATTGAAACGGATTTTTTGCAATTTTGTATATAATCTGTGTGGCTATTATTAAAAAGAATGCGCAATTGGAGTTCTTTTTCTGAATCTCTCTCTCTCTCTCTCTCTATATATATATATATATATATATATATATGTGTGTATGTGTGAGTGTGTGTGTATGCACACACACACATGCATATATACATATACTAGAAGGGTGTTCGCAGTACAATGCAGCGAGATACATTTCGATTTTAGTGTTTCTTTTTTTGTCTTAATCTATGTTAAAATACGGTTTTATGTGGTTTTGATAAAACAATAATGTTTTAATTTTTGAATAAAATATAAATATGAAGATATCATAAAAAAATTAAATATTAATACCAGATTAACTATTTAAAATTTCTCCTTTTTTTGTGTA